ACCTTATTCAAGCACAGAGCAAGACCAATCCATCCTCAAGACATCGACGCTGTACGGAAACATCTTCAGGAACTCCTTGAATCAGGAGTAATCCGGGAATCTGAATCTTTCTTCTCATCACCCATTGTGGTGGTTAGGAAAAAGAACGGCAGTGTTCGACTCTGTATTGATTACAGAAAACTAAATCTACAAACAATAAAAGACGCTTATGCTCTGCCAAAGCTTGAAGACACATTCACAGCACTCTCCGGTTCTAAGTGGTTCTCAGTACTAGATCTGAAAAGTGGATATTATCAAATCGAAATGGACGAAGCAGATACATCGAAAACTGCCTTTGTGTGTCCCTTAGGATTTTGGGAGTTTAATCGCATGCCCCAAGGAGTTACGAATGCACCGAGCACTTTCCAGCGCCTCATGGAGAAATGTATGGGGGACATTAATTTGAAAGAGGTCCTCGTCTTCATCGATGACATCATTGTGTTTTCCCCAACATTAGAGGAGCATGAAGCCAGGCTGATGAAAGTGTTGAATCGGCTAAAAGAGTTTGGTCTGAAACTGTCCCTTGAAAAATGTATGTTCTTTCAAACATCCGTCCGCTACTTGGGACATGTTGTTTCCAGTAATGGCGTAGAAACTGACCCAGAAAAAGTCGCAACAATCACAACCTGGCCAGTACCCAAAAACTTAAGAGAACTTCGATCATTTATTGGCTTTGCTGGGTACTATAGAAGATTTGTAAAAGACTACTCTGCAATCGTCAAACCCCTCCACGATCTCACGTCTGGGACCCACCATCACAGAAGAAATTAAAACTAACGTTACGTACAGAAAAATACCTGAATCCGAAAGAGCCTTTTCATGGCCGTTGGACGTCTGTATGTCAACATGCCTTTGAAACAGTCATCCATAAACTCACTACTGCCCCTGTCCTTGCTTTTGCTGATCCTCAAAAGCTTTACATCCTTCATACTGACGCCAGCTCCACTGGCCTTGGAGCTGTGTTATATCAAGAGCAAGAAGGAGTTAAGAGAGTAATTGCCTATGCCAGCAGAGGACATTCCCGTAGTGAATCCAATTATCCAGCTCACAAACTCGAATTCCTTGCCCTCAAGTGGTCCGTAACATAAAAACTCAATGACTATCTGTATGGAAATCCTTTCACAGTGGTGACCGACAGCAACCCTCTCACTTATATTCTAACATCAGCCAAACTGGATGCAACCAGTTACAGATGGCTTGCAGCACTATCCACCTTTTCTTTTAAAATCCTATATCGTGCTGGGGAAAAAAAGCGCAGATGCCGATGGACTTTCCCGCAGGCCACATGGTGGTCTCATTGATGATCAGAAATCAATGAAGGAGAGGGAAATCATTTGGAAATTTGCCCAACAGCATCTGTTTGATCCTGCTTTGATCCCCATTGAGCAATCCACTATACAAGCCATTTGTGATAGACAGCTCATTTACAGTTCAAATGACAGCAAACATACTATCGCTCTTGTGCAGTTCATGTCCACTTCAACTGATGTACTACCGGACAGTTTTGTAAATGACAGTCAGTTTGAGTCCTCATTCACTCCTCAGCTTACTGAGACTGAGATAGCAGAAACACAAAGAGCAGACCAAACCATTAGGCATATCATCTCTCAATTGGAACATGGAGAAACAGTACCACCTACTTTGAGGGATGAACTCCCTGAGTTGCCCCTTCTCCTCCGAGAACTGAATCGTTTGGAGCTCCGGAACAACATTCTTGTTAGGAGGAGGCAAATAGGAACTCAAAGCTCTCATCAGATTGTCTTGCCACCTGAATTCCGTCACCAAGTCCTGACCAGTCTACACGACAACATGGGTCACATGGGAATAGAAAGAACTCTAGACTTGGTTCGTGCCAGATTTTATTGGCCAAGAATGTCCACTGATGTCTACAACAAGATAACAACGTGTGAGAGGTGTGTAAAAAGAAAGGCTTTGCCTGAAAAAGCTGCACCTCTTGTAAACATTAGAACCACAAGACCTCTTGAACTTGTCTGCATGGATTATCTGTCGTTAGAACCGGACAGAAGTGGTACTAAGGACATTCTTGTCATCACAGATCACTTTACCAAGTATGCCATTGCTATTCCCACACCCAACCAGAAGGCTAGGACAGTGGCCAAATGTCTATGGGAAAACTTTTTCATTCACTACGGAATTCCAGACAAACTACACAGCGATCAGGGACCGGACTTTGAGTCCAGGACAATAAAGGAACTATGCCAAATCACAGGAATTCATAAAATAACGACTACACCATACCACCCAAGAGGAAACCCGGTTGAGCGTTTCAATCGCACACTCTTGAGTATGCTTGGAACCTTGAAAGAGTCGGACAAAACGCATTGGAAAGACTTTGTGAAACCCCTTGTGCATGCCTACAACTTCACAAATAATGACGTTACAGGATTCTTGCCATACTAACTCATGTTTGGACGGCAACCACGCCTACCAATTGACTTAGCTTTTGGACTACCTCTTACAAACAAACAACATACATCTCACTCTCAGTATGTCCAAGATTTAAAGTCTCATTTGGAGGAAAGCTACAAGATAGCAACTCGAAACGCAGAAAAGATCATGCAGAAGAACAATATAAGATTTGACAAGCATATCATTGCTGCTGATCTTTCCGTTGGAGACCGTGTCCTCGTCAGAAATGTACGTCTGAGAGGAAAACATAAGCTCTCAGACAAATGGGAATCTGTCTACACAGTCAGACCAGAGAAAAAAGATAGTCCCCAACGTACCTTACATAGAGATCTTATTCTTCCTTGTGGGTACCTATCTGCCACAGAAATCCCACTTCCGACACGAATCCGCAAGCCCATAACTCGTTCCAACACAGAACATCTAAAAAATCACGTCGACATTGATGAAGATGAAACCCCAATATACTGGTACAGTGAATTGCCCATCTCTGAGCTTTCAAGATTCACCACCATACTTGACATACCAGCAGATCCCATTAGTTCTCTTTCCAGCACAATACTACCAACTACCAATAGCACAGCCCCTGTTGGTGCAGCAGCAGAGGATGCTGCTCAGAACCTATCTGAACTGAAAATAACTGGAAAGGAACCAGCAGAAATTGCTGAAGAGGAACAAGCAGACATTGCTGAAGAGGAAAGGGCCCGTTCCTCTGAAGACGATGACTTGCCAATCTCCACTTCAGACAATGTGGATGAACTTCCAATACGTTCAACTAGGAACAGGAAACCACCAGAACGACTTCGCTACGCAAAACTTGGACAACCAGTAATAGACACCTTCCATACACTTTTTCATGGGTTGGCTACTGCCTTCACATATGCCTTAACAGACACTGAGTTTCCCTTGCACACATTGCAGCAACCAATTAGCACACAACCAGGTCCATGTCCGAGACGTACATGACATCAGGGGGGGAAAGTGTAACCCAGGTTAAAAAACCTTCAACAGGGTTGCCAACTTTGGGTACCTGGCTGGAGTGAGATTTTGGTATCATGGGTTTGATTACACATATGCGCACGAAATCACTGCTATCGTGTCAGCAGCGGGACCTTAGCATATATATATAGGATTATATACAATATATACAAATACACAATATTGGACACAGACTATAAAGGGCACACAGTTTCATTCAGTAATGAAAGTCAAACACATGTTTGTTTCCACTGTTTTATTGTGTTTATAGGCCTGTCGCGATAAGCAATTAATTGACTTATCGTACGATAAATAAAAATGAACTCGATAAATTGCCATTTACATGAGGATGTGACTAGCAGTTTGAAAGGATGTACTTGAATTACTGTTATATATTATCATTATGTCAGTGGTCTAAAATGGTCATACAACGGTGCTGACAATATTATCGTTTATCGCAATAATTTCCGGGAAAATGTATCCAACTAAATTAATTATCGTGAGAGGTCTATACATGAAACACACACACACAAATCTACAGACTTACTCCAAACTGCCAAATATATTAATTAACACACTCTCACTCTCATACTCTCTTTGACTCTATTTTGGCCTATAGTAGAACAATAAGCAGCAGACTTTTACTTTTTATCATTTCTACCGGATCTTAGATCTGCGCATGCGCAATACGGGTCGGTAGTATTTTTGTTGGGTTTTCCATGGTAGGGCTAACCCATACAGTGGTGGGGCTCAAGTCAGTATTTGCAATGTAATTACATACACGCTCCCCTTGACAGTGAAACGCCACGCGTGAGGTTTAGATTATTTCCCTGTCTCAATCCAAATTGAACTGTATGAAATAAAAAGGCACATTTGTCTTATAGTAAATAAAAAGGGCGACCTGGAACCAATCCTGCAATTTCCCCACAGGTGAAAGAGTTGACATGCTGAAAACCCACCCCCCTGCAGGGGGGTCTGGGGGGATTGTCCCCGAGGAGATTTTTTGAAATACTAACATAAAATACACATTCTGGTACTCTCTTGAGAAGAAAAATAAATAAATCTATTACTACACGACATATTTAAAAAAATGAATGCCATTTTAGTTTTTCGTTACTTTGTTCTGAAATCTGAACCTGCTGCTCCTCACAGAGAGAAGAGGGAAGAGGCTGTGAATGACTTTACATTGTGGATAAGGGTGGATAGCCCCCATTGTTCTGTGTGTCAAAATGAAAGACAGCCCACACACCTATCAATCATCAAACCGTGGGGTATTATTTCATTACGTGTTGATTTCTATCAACACGTAATGTTGTATCGATGTCTAGAGATGTACTACAGCAAAAGTATTCTCCGTCGGGACTTCCTGCAACAACACCACGCCGTTATCGTGATTCTGATTGGCCAGAAGACATTATCAAAGATGTTCTATTAAGTGGACGATCACTACGTGACAAACGTTTTCAAAACCGTTTCTAGTCTTCGGTATTCTTGTTTTTGGCGTGAGAATAGTTTGGGCAGCGTAAGACCGTGAGATTGAGAGTGAAAGCGTGTGTCACACGCCAGATGCGTGAGAGTTGGCAACCCTGCCTTCAATCCTAGCAGGCTCCCGTAGCTCAGTATAAATGGCAGCCAGGTCACTTCCGTTTCCTTTGCTGGTCGTTTGTGATGCTGGTTGCTACGTTGATGCTACATGCTACACACAGGGATTCCTCCACGATTCCTAAACATATTAACGTTTGGTTAACAATTGCTGCAATCAGCGGTGAGTCTTGTATTGGTAGAATGTATTTAAAATGTGTAATGTTATTGAAAAATGCCCAGAATGTGCCCGCTAGCTTAGCGGCTAGCGGTTAGCATTTTCAATAGGAAATCTACATTGAGATAGCTCCCGTTAGCTGCTAAGCTAGCGGTTAGCATGCTAATAGTATTGCTAGTAGAAATATCTTATGCATGGGTCTTCACCATAGACTGTACATATAAATCAGTGTTTCTCAAACTTTTTCATACCAAGGACCACTTAACCAATAAAAAAACACTCGCGGACCACCTAACTCCACAAATATCCAAAAACACAATGTTTATTACAAATCGCCTGAAAATGGTACAAACAAGTGCCAACATGTGTGATGAAGGTGTTTATTTGGGCGATATCATGCAATCGAAAGTGAAACTTAAGCTCGCTCCATTGCAGAGATATTGCCGCGAGAGTGCGGAACACTTAAATGAATAAATTTATTTCAAATGTGAAATTTTACCAATATACTCACGGACCACTAGGGGGCGCTCACGGACCACCAGTGGTCCGCGGACCACACTTTGAGAAGCACTGAAAATGGACGTAGGGTCCGTGACGTCACCCATAGGATTCTGCAGAGTTGCCGTGAAGCCCTTAGTAGGCGGAGTCGGCCACTAACGGCTCGACAGTGACGCCAGAGTTCAACTCCCGCCTTCTCCAGCCTGCTCCAAATAAGGGCCAAGAGGCGGAGCCGAGGCGGGACCTGCTGCCACCGAGCTGAAAGTTCCAGAGCTAGCTGAAGCTACCAAGCTAAGCTAACATGCTCCCCATCTGCACGCTGCCGTCGCATTTTACGTTTCTAAGGTAAGCGGACATGAAACTATTCAGCAAAACTATAAATAATAATCTAAGTTATTGAGTTTTTAGCATAATACTTCAGAATCTTAAAACCCCTTAACGTTTGTATGCAATTGTGCTAAATTCAACACTGGAATCAAGCAAATATTAATATGTTTGCATGACATTAGTTATTTATATTTTGATATCACTTAACTATACGTTTAATACATTTAAGTCAAGCTAAGGTACATGTGATGGTAGCTAGTTAGCGCTCTTACCTGTGAGGCCTCCTCCAAACAGCATAATAACCAGACTATCATTAAAACTAAGTACCAGTTATAGATCCTTGACTTTAGACAAACAATTCAAAAGACAAAATGTATTTAAAGACCAATCTTTATTTGAATGTGCCTCTTAACCTGAGATATTAGTTATACAGTAATAGTAATGACAATCTAAAAAAACTGAGCAACTCAACAGTCAACTTTATGTTTCTTATTGTCTAAAGCATTTATTATTTTCATTTTCCCAATCTCATATTCAGTGTGGACGGATTGAGACAGCATGGTGTCCAGAGAGCTGCAGAGACTTCAGGGAGAAACCTCCGTGTGATGGACGTCCTGTCTGTTGGTTTGGAGAGGACTGAGGGTCTTTCCTCTGCGAGGAGGACCAGGGCTGATGGAGGAGCCCATGCTGGGCAAAGCTGATACCAACTGCACAGGCCTAGTCGGTCACTTTATTTGACTAAATGTGTTTAATACATTTAATAGGTTTACACCTTCTGTCCATATGTGCTTTTTATTTAAAACATTTGATTAACTTTTGGTTCACATTTCAATAAATTGTATTTGTATTTGCACTCCTTTCGTCCATTATTCTTACTGAAAATGTTAGATTACACATTCACATCTGACTGACTGGCAAATAGAAATAATCAGCTGATGGAGTGTAGATGTGGAAATAGCTGCATTCGATCAGCTGACTGTTTTTACAATAAAAGTAGTTTCTTAGTGAATGTCCTGTACTGGTCTTAAAATCTCATAACATCAGCTTTTAATGTTCCTCTTGGATGTTCTTCTTGACCCTCAGAGAAGGAGAAAATGTCCTGTCTTTCAGGCATGTCCTTTCCTAACAAAAATGACAGGAAACCTAAAACATATTATTGCAGAACAAGTGTGTTATTTATGAAAGCGGTGTGTTTAGGGGCTGTAGATATAATTATTTTGTAATTGTAATGTTTTTTTTTTTATTTCAACAATGAGCTACAAAGACAATCAGATTATGAATGAACAGAATGAAGTTCATCAACATTGAAATATATGTTATTATCAAAATAATATTGAACTGTTATCAAAACGTAGTGCAACTGTAGAAGCTTGCTCTGTTGTCTCACTGAAAGAATAACTTTTACCACGTTTTTTACAGACAATATTGAGAGATAAATAGTAGCAGTTCTCACTATGTGTTAAATATCTTTGCCTTCAATACATTAAATTAGAAAGCTGACAAAGTCATAATGCTTGTTATCATCTAAATGTAACTTTTTGCATGGAAAAAACCCTCAACTTAACTGATGTGTAGGTGATCTAGTATTTAGTATTGTTTAATGGAATATATATATCAGTGTATTCAAGTCAATACTTCATTCATTTAAACCAATATCTTTCTTGATTCTTTGTACAGTATGAAAAAAGAGTCTTTGTACCTGTGCTGAAGTTCACTGCTGTGAGGAGTCCAGTTCTGTCTCTCACTCTCTGGTCCAGCCTGTCTGCATCACCTGGACACCTTAAACAAACAGATATATATGTATATATACACACGTATATATATATATATACACACATGTATATATAATTAATTCCTTACATTTATTATAGCGCTTTTTCAATGACTCAAAGCGCTTTACATATGTTATTATACATTACACATATATCATACATGCAATGGTCAGATACTGTGGACAATACCCACAGGAGCAAGTTCAGGTGAAGTATCTTGCCCAAGGACACACCGGCTTTACAGACGCAGCAGCGGCGGGTTTCACCCCTTGATCTGATGATCATTGTACAGTGCACTGCGCCACACCGTCCATCTTCACGCCTCGAGGTCATCAAGGCGCTTTTACAAGTACACATTGGTATTATACATGTACTGTGGACAATACCCACAGGAGCAAATCCGGGTGAAGTGTCTTGCCCAAGGACACAACGGCGGGTTTCGAACTGGAGTTCCCCAGCACTTCCCCTTGATCTGATGATCGGATGCACAGACCACTGCGCCACCCGTCCCTGGAATATATATGTATGTATGTATATATATATATGTATATACATGTGTATATATATGTATATACACATGTATATATATATATATATATGTATATACATGTGTATATATATGTATATACACATGTATATACATGTGTATATACACATGTATATACATATATATATATATATATACATACACATATATATATACATATATATGTATATACATATATACACATACATATATATATATATGTATATGTATATATATATGTATATGTATATATATATGTATATATATTATATATATATATTTGATTTGTCTTATTTTGGCTCGACCAAAAAAAGTTTATAAATGTGCTATATAAATAAAACTTGATTTGATCAGCGTGATATAAAAGTACATAAATTAGCATAATTACTAGCTAGTCGCTAGCTGCTAACTGCCGCGGCCGCCTCGTTAATATCAAAATCCATCATATAACAATCCATTACTATGCTGTCATGAAAGTGCGCTGCTGTTACGTGTACAAATTGACGTGCTTAATGTTGTGAACGAGCATTTTGGTGGGCGTGGTTAAAGTTGCGCATGCTCTATGAGCGCACATACGGGTACTTCTCAGGCATGCTGGGTAATCTGTGACGTATCGCTCTCTCAAAAGTTGGGCCATTTTATCATCATGCGCCAATGAGCAGCTCTCATAGGAATGAATGAGGCCCGCCTCCCACGCTGTATCGAGTTCTTATTATACATCCATGGTAGTGACAGAGCTAAACGGAGCTGTCTCGTGTGAACAGACACTTTCCGGTGTCTATTGCGTGTGGACCATAGGTGTGGACGGAAGCCTTTTTTGCGATTGCGTTTGCGTATGCGTTTTACCCCCGTGGGGCCGGGGCCTTAAATGCAGTTTTTAAAACTAGATGACCTTTCATTAGTTTTAAAATCCTACTTTGCTGACAGGGTGTGCCAGGGTTATTATTATTTACGTGTCTGAATTTGAAATTAAAATCTTGAATAGCGAACTTCAATGGTTTGAGAACATTTGCGTGCCTTCTATATGGTCCATCCTCAGAAATAGATCATCTGTTGAACAATAGTTATATTGTGATTGTGATAGGATATTCATGTTGCTTGACAGAAGGGCTAAACGTTTTTTGTTAATTTCTTGGCCACTGAGTCAAATTGTGGTCAGAGAGAACATATTAAAATCTCAAAATTCTCATAAAAAGAATATTGGAAGAGAAAGGACGATTTATAATGTTGAAAATAAAGCATATTTGGGACAAATGCATTGCAATGTTTCTTTTTTTTTTATCATGCAGTTTTTTCTTATTTTGTTTATTTTGCAATACGGTACCTTTATATTAAAAAAAATACAATTTTTTTAATATTATGACAAATAGTATATTAAAAGGGGACCTGTTTAGATTTATGTTGGTTTCCACTTTCCTGTAGCTTGTTATAGGTTTTTGTGCAGGTAAATGACAACATCTCTAACTAACATTTGCGCTTCTATTGGCTAGCGCTCCAACACATAGTTTGTGATAAGCTAAGGGGGGGACATCTCTAAGCGGATGACCAATCACAACAGAGCCGGCCAGCTATCCAATCAGAGCAGAGTGAGCTCTGGTTTCAGACAGAGGGTGAAAAGAGGTGCTGCAGCACAGGCAGAATGAGAAAAATAAAGAGCTTTTTGAACATTGAAGCATGGAGACATGTCACAGTAGAGACACAAAATACTAATATGAAGCTGAACATCAGCAGGAGAGGACTCTTTAAAGTAGAGACACTACATACTGATATACACCTGAACATCAGCAGGAGAGGACTCTTTAAAGTAGAGACACTACTTATTGATATACACCTGAACATCAGCAGGAGAGGACTCTTTAAAGCAGAGGCACTACATACTGATATACACCTGAACATTAGCAGGAGAGGACTCTTTAAAGTAGAGAAACTAACTGATATACACCTGAACATCAGCAGGAGAGGACTCTTTAAAGTAGAGACACTACATACTGATATACACCTGAACATTAGCAGGAGAGGACTCTTTAAAGTAAAAACACTACATACAGATATACACCTGAAAATTATCAGGAGAGGGCCCCTTTAATTTCTTAAAGAACAAAACTAAAAACGATGTTTACCTTCTATAGCTTCACATTATTATTTAATGATACCTTCCATCTATCCATCTTATCCCGCTTATCCGTGGTCGGGTCGCGGGGGTAGCAGTTCCAGCAGAGAGCCCCAAACTTTATTTTCCCTGGCCACATCAACCAGCTCTGACTGGGGGATCCCAAGGCGCTCCCAGGCCAGCGAAGAGATATAATCCCTCCACCTGGTCCTAGGTCTACCCCTTGGTCTCTTCCCAGCTGGACGTGCCTAGAACCACCTCAACTGGTTCCTTTCGACGCGAAGGAGGAGCGGTTCAACTCCGAGTCCCTCCCGGATGACTGAACTTCTCACCTTATCCCTAAGGGAGACACCAGCCACCCTGCGGAGAAAACCCACCTCGGCCGCTTGTATCCGCAATCTCGTTCTTTCGGTCATGACCCATCCTTCATGACCATAGGTGAGGGTAGGAACGAAAATGGCCCGGAAGACAGAGAGCTTTGCCTTCTGGCTCAGCTCCCTTTTCGTCACAACGGTGCGGTAAAGCGACTGCAGTACCGCTCCCGCTGCTCCGATTCTCCGGCCCATCTCACGCTCCATTGTTCCCTCACTCGAGAACAAGACCCCGAGATACTTGAACTCCTTCACTTGGGGTAAGGACTCATTCCCTACTTGGAGTGGACAGTCCATCGGTTTCCTGCTGAGAACCATGGTCTCAGATTTGGAGGTGCTGATTCTCATCCCAGCCGCTTCACACTCGGTTGCGAACCGATCCAGTGAGTGCTGAACGTCGCAGACCGATTAAGCCATTAGAACCACATCATCTGCAAAAAGCAGTGGTGCAATCCTTAGTCCACCGAACTGCAGACCCCCTCCCCCACGCCTCGAAATCCGATCCATGTATATTACAAACAGGATTGGTGACAAAGCGCAGCCCTGGCGGAGGCCAACCCTCACCGGAAATGGGTCCGACTTACTGCCGAGGACCCGGACACAGCTCTCGCTTTGGGAGTACAGAGATTGGATGGCCCTGAGTAGAGACCCCCTCACCCCATACTCCCGCAGCACCTCCCACAGTAACTCCCTGGGAACTCGGTCATATGCCTTCTCCAAGTCTACAAAACACATGTAGACCGGATAAGCGTATTCCCAGGCCCCCTCCAGGATCCTTGCGAGAGTAAAAAGCTGATCCGTCGTTCCACGACCAGGACGGAATCCGCATTGTTCCTCCTCAATCTGAGGTTCGACAATCGGCCTGACCCTCCTTTCGAGTACCTTAGAGTAAACCTCAACATTTACAGTAACTAATGATACCTTAACATTGTTTTTATTTTCCAGTTGCCATTTCCCCCCTCTGTCTGTTCTCTTCAGGCATAAAGTGTTTGCCGCTCTTTCTCACACATTATATGAAAATCCAGTTTGTTGAGTTTTGGCATGTCGTTATCTCTGCCAGACGATGTGCAAGTTGAAGCAGAAACAAGGTTAGGTTCAGCCCACACCCCATAAAAGTGTGTTTTGAGTGCCAACTCACCAAGGCCGGATAAGTAGGCCTACTTCCAGGGGCCCCTGGGCACTGAGAGCTCAGGGCCTCTCAACTCACGTACCAACGTAACAACACCTCTACCCAACTTGACCAATGTTTTTAATTTGCATTCAATCTGGCATGTCAATTGCACACCTATTTGTCAAAAGCAGGGACGCAGCTACATAGTTCAACCAAAGTAGGCCTAGCCTTTTGCCCTTTCAGTCAAAAATCACAAGACAAGGATACAATGGATCAGATCTCAAGACAGTGTATGGCTCAAGAAGACCTAGGTAATATCACTCAACCTCAGAGCAGCACCCCACTTAAAATGCCAAAATATGACTGGCTGGCTGTACAAGTACACAAGGAGTTCGATTTGTCACAAACATCGAGTTACAAAAGTAAAACATATGTTGAAAGTATGAGGTAGCTCAACTAAATGATCAGTATATATGATAGAAGATATTATTTTGTGTATGGGAGAGAGAGAGTGAATGTGTGTGAGAGAGTGAGTGTGTGTGAGGGAGAGAGAGAATGAGTGTGTGTGAGAGAGAGAGAATAGGTTCATCCCAATTTCCCTCCTCGACTCCTCTCTCCTCTGTGATTTGAACCGGAAATCGATCAAGACACGCCATGTTGAAGGACGTCCCAATCGCTGAAATGCACACGGAGGAGTTGAGGAGAGAGGAGGGAGGAGGCTTCCAGAGGAGACGAGAGGGAGTGTAGACATGAGTGTAGACTACACGGAAGTGTTTTCACTACTCGCACATCAAAGCTCCGCCCACAGATCTACAGCCGTCTGCTTACTGCAGCTTTTCTTACTGTTTAAGGAAGATCAGAGTCATTACATTATTAAAGTGCTTCAATAAGAGTAAAATATATAAATTTCTTAAACGAACGAGAAGATCATACTCCATAAAAACATGAAAGTGTGTGAAATATACTTACAAATTCAATATTAATGTTTTGATTATAAAATTATAACTTACAGTTCTTATTTGAGGATTTTGATGCATGTGTGGATAAGACCCACATAACGTGAAACATTTAGGATATATAAATATATACATCATACCTATAACAAATATTTAAGTGATTTGTGTCTCTCTTCTGTAGGAGAAATTAAATAACAACATCCAGGCCCAGTTCCAGAACACTATGACTTGGGGTGCATCTGTATGGCAAGCCGATTCAGCTTTTATTCATTTCTGGAGGATATCAAAAAATCCATTCTTACTAATAAGAATGCAAATTCTTGATATCAAAAATGCAATTCTTACTAGTAATAATGTTTATTTCTCATATAAAAGATTGAATTTTAACTAGTTAGAATGCAAATTCTTGATATCAGAAATGCAATTCTTACTAGTAATAATGTTTATTTCTCATATAAAAAATTGAATTTTAACTAGTTAGAATGCAAATTCTTGATATCAGAAATGCAATTGTAACTAGTTGTAATGTGTATTCTTGATATCGGAAATGCGATTTTAACTAGTGAGATTTGCATCGTTTTCCTCATTCATTTCAATGGGAGTTGGAATTTGAAAGAAGTTGGTATTGCTGTTTTGATGCCCTTTGATTCCCTCCAATGCAAGGTTCTAACAACTATAGAAAGTTACTTTTGAATATGTGGCTCTTCAGTTGCCATCATCTCCCTGTAGGTACTTTATTGATCCCATATTGGGAAATTATTTAGTTACAGTAGCAGCAGTGTGTACAGGCAGTAACATCTTTAAAGGTGGAAACTATTAACACAATACAATTCAAATAAAATCAATAAACAGCAGCAAGTCTATATACATATCTACAGTAGAAGAACAAATGAACCACAAGAATACTAAATGTAAAATGCTCAAAATAATTTAGGCTGTTCAACAATACAGATATCAGAAAACAAGAACTTTGTAGCAGTGAGTTCTCTGCCAGCCAGAGGTGTGATAAAGTGTTATTGCTGTTGGCAGGAATGTTTTCCTGTATCTGAGTGAGCAAGTTTGACATCAACCAACTCCCTGTTTGAGGATCTAAAAAGAGACAACTCAAAGTGTAACTGTTTGTTAAAATCTTATTTTCGATATATAAACTATCGTTATAATTAATTGAAGTGCACATCGAAACTAAACATATATTTAGTTATTTTCTCAGAAGATATTTATCCTCTATAATAAATATAATTGTTTGTTATTTGTTTATTATAATTATGTAATTCTGATTTCATAAATAAACAATTTCACTAAGAAATGGCGCTTTACATTTGAAACAGCACCAACATTTTTGAAAGGTTAATTAATCAATGAATCACATTGTATGTTTGTGGCAGAATATCATAGTTTACAAATGTGCCTCAGGGAACTTTAGACTAAATACATGATACTTCTACATGTAATTATAATAAGCATTCCTCCCTCTACTCCCAAGGCCTCAGGCAACAGTCATAACAATCGGTATGCTGTGTGCAGGGCTGTGTGCTGCAGGACTGAGCAGAGGACTGAAAGAGGAACACAAATGGAGAACAAAGTGGAAAAGAGGGAACAGTGGACGAGGAAAAGGGAATATATTCTGGCAGCAGCAGGCAATGTGGTGGGCCTGGGCAATGTGTGGAGATTCCCCTACCTATGCTATAAGAACGGAGGAGGTGAGCTTTACATACAATCAACTGTGACATTTTAAATGATTTCATGAAAATCCCTAATCTCTAGTAATGATGAGGAGTGTGTAAAAATAACTGAAAATAATCTAAATACTTTGAGGTTACATGAAAAATAACATTTGAAAGTATATATATTGACTTTATAGCCACATGGATACACGGCTGCTAAAATAATGGAAGTTATTGTACTCAGTAGCGATTATTATTAATCTGCTTCTGTATGTGTTCTTTTTGTAGACCTGACTATCTACCAAGCACAAGTAAAACAACCCTGTCTCCTAAAAATTACGTTCCCACTGAACTAAACTGCATTCTCAATTACGTTTAGCTAGAAACTTATTTTCTCCCACGTTACGTTCGTTATGAACGTATCTCAAATACGTTTATTTTCTATTATCTTCTAGAAGCATATTTTCTCCCACGTTACGTTTGTTATGAACGTATCTCAAATACGTTTATTTTCTACATATCTTTGCCATTTATTGTCTTGCTTATAATAATTATAATAGTCATTTATAAATATCATTTTAGAGCACACCTTTGAAATCAGTAGGCGAGGCTGTAATTTCGCCAGCTGTTACTCTCATGAGCGAGGCAGAAAATAATAGTTTTATCATGCCAAAAAGCTGCTGTGTCGTTTATTGCACCTCAAACATTAAAACAAATCCAGAGTTACGTGTTTCTGTACTTCCTCTAAGAAGAAAGGACAGTAACAGAAGATCTCTGTGACGCCAGATGTGGTGTTGTTAATGCGATATGATATCCGAAAAAAAATGCAGTTTAGGATGGCCGAAGACACTACACTACCCATAATCCCCTGCTATCGTTTGGGACTACAGTCCCGTTGAGAAACCCCGTGATTAATCTTCAAGCTCTGGGATTGGATGTTGGAGTGGCAGTGCGCCAAGGTTACGCCGAGCGTCAAGCTCTTTGAAATGGAACGAAACCACGGCAGACTATTCAAAACTGGACTCGAACGCCCCCGCAGAACTACACATGCTGCCTATTGTGTTTCGCAACATGTTCTCTATGGCACGTCTCTACTGGGAATTGTAGTTTTAAAAGACGTTTTCGTTTTTCCAAAAATTAGAAGTTGACAGTATTAAACAGTGTACAGCCCTGTAGGTTTAGGCAATAGGAAACAAATTGGTGTGTACACATTTAAAACATATAATTACTAAATGGGTGAAAATCGCTTGTATCCATAATGGGTAGCATTAATATATACACATGACCGCTCATTGTTACTTTGTAATTCTACTCCACTACAATTCAGAGGTTAACTTGGTATATTTACTCCACTACATTTATTTTAGTTACTTTGCAGATTCTGATTAATGATGTGAAATATAAACAACCCTTAAATCAGACTTTAGTTATACCTGAGTGAAATTCAGGGAAAGGTGATTGTCAAGTGCCAACAATCAGGAGAGATATTTGATAGTTGGTGCTTGAGAAGACTAAACATGTATCTGCAGATCTCTATAAAGTATATTAATTACTCATTATTCTCTACTAAGAGTTAATTAAAAACTGTATATAATTGTTATTTTGCACATCCCTTTCAATATTTTCTAAGGTTTATTGACATATCATAACTATGGTGTAGTTATGCAATGAATGAAAAACTTGGGTCACAGGTTCCTCAACAGTGCATTACAAGACATCTATCAATGTGTGTATACCTCCACCATTAAACTGTCAAATTCTGCACATTTATTATACTATCTACATACATAAGAGTATAATTAAGGTGTTTATCAGTTAAAATAAGTGCTTCAACATAGTTAACATTGCAGGAAAGCAATACATTAGACGTCAAGTACTTTGTCAGGCTTAATATTTATCTGTAGATAGATACCCCCAAAGCTTTTTTCTTATTTGAAAGAAGACCTTAACCTAAAGTATTCTTTAATGTGTTAATACATGTTAATTAGTTTGTCTGTTTTGCACATCCTCATATTAATATCTTTGTACATCCAGCACTAAACTGTTTTATTGTAGAGATTACTTACAGTATCTTCCTAATTTTTTATATTCTATATTTCTATCATTGACCTTCTACTTTCCCCTGAAAGTATGTACTCTTAATATGTTTTTCATGAAATAACATTATTCAACAACAATAATTCAATAACGTGCTTTAACCACTAGGCGGTGCACACAAGGTACACACAGCATACTAATAATCACTTTCTATTATTAGTGTAGGACACTTATGTATGTATAACATCTGAAGATGTGTAGTTTTATTCATGTTTTTACATAATTTTACAGGATATTGCTATACTATTTCTCATGTTTTACTTCTACACATTAATATCTGATTTGTAAAACATCACAGACAGAAAGCCATATCCATAATTTAATGGTAAGCTATTGAAATTGTGATTCCATAGATGTGTCTCCCATCACCCAAATCCCCTGACTATTCTCTCAACTCAGTATTTACATTCTTATATTCAAAGAAAATCAGTAATATCTTTAAAAACTACAAGTCCTTTTCTGTCAGCTGTGCACCGTTATGGTGTAAATATAACCTATCTACCAATTGGATCAAATATAAAAGTCAGCCGAATTAGTATTCATACTGCAAGGAGACGTATTTTGTGAAAATAAATGCAAGATGTTGTTTAATTGTTGATATTTATGATCCACGTCGCATATTCAGTTTTGGCGGCAGTTCCTCATGTTTGTCTAGAAGTCTTCTCATCAGGGCTCTATAAATAAAGAACTACAGCAGATGTGTAATATTTAATGCAGCCGAACCATGTATTACAATGCCGTTATGTGATGACTTCCAAAGAGAAAAGCAAGAACACTCAGAATAAAGTATTATTTTATTTTTAAAAAATGTTTTCGGATATCATATCGCATTAACATCATATCCCAACATGCATTGCGGCTAAAATATCCAATCAACAAGCTTCAAGCTGAGGATCTTGGGTAATCTGTTCAGTGGGTTTTTGGTGTGTATCCTCGAAATGTCCCTTTTATAAGCCTATGTCTGTTTCCGGTGACTTTATTTACGGCTGAAAAGCCCAAGATTATAGAATTAAACGAATAAATAAAAACAAGGATACTTGTGTGTTATTGTTGAGTAAATAACAGTGTGTTATTTAGAAAAGAATAACAAATTAGAAGGAAAAAAAGATTTTCAAAAATACAGATTTCAGTATTTTGAGGCTCTAAGCCCCATTTATTTTCCTCACAGACGGGGAAAAAAGTCCGACATTATACGATTTAAAATAAAAACATAAAACACTGGCATGTCATTTACGTTAGAATAAATAGAATGGTTTTGAATAATAGATGAGAGTAAAATCTGTCACTTTACAGCCCCGCCCACTTTTTTGACAATGCTGTCATTTGAACGGCGATCAAGCCTGAAGCCACAGAGATCTTCTGTTACTGTCCTTTCTTCTTAGAGGAAGTACAGAAACACGTAACTCTGGATTTGTTTTTAATCTTTGAGGTGCAATAAACGACACAGCAGCTTTTTGGCATGTTAAAACTATTATTTTCTGCCTCGCTCATGAGAGTAACAGCTGGCGAAATTACAGCCTCGCCTACTGATTTCAAATGTGTGCTCTAAAATGATATTTATAAATGACTATTATCATTATTATAAGCAAGACAATAAATGGCAAAGATATGTAGAAAATAAACGTATTTAAGATACGTTCATAAGAAACGTAACGTGGGAAAAAATATGCTTCTAGAAGATATGTAGAAAATAAACGTATTTGAGATACGTTCATAACGAACGTAACGTGGGAGAAAATACGTTTCTAGCTAAACGTAATTGAAAATGCAGTTTAGTTCTGTGGGAACGTAATTTTTAGGAGACAGGGTTGAGTAAAACAGCCAAGAAACTGTAGAGCCTGTTGGCATGACTTAACATCAATGCCGGAAGAAGAACTCAGATCCTTTACTTAAATAAAAGTACAAATACTATAGTCTTAAAATACTCATCTAGAAGTAAAAGTCTTGATCTAAAAAATATATACTTGTAAAAATTCAAAAGTTATTCAAATTACCTAAAGTACAAAGAAGTACTCATTCTGCATAATGGTGTATTTCATAATAATATAAAGTACATGCATAATATCAGCTAAATGTACTTCAAGTATCAAAAGTAAAAGTACTCATTATGCAGAATGGATCTTTCAAAGTATTATATGATGATGGTTTTAATTGTATCATGTTTTTACACTAGAGCATTTCAGTGTTGTAGTCGTTCAATTTGGACCAGATTTAGATACTGTGTAGTTTAGTAGTGCATGCAGTACTGCATTATACTATATGGGCATATATGTGTTATTATTATATGTGCAAAGTAACTAGTAACTGTGAGTGTTCAAGTAAATGTAGTGGAGTAAAAAGTATGATATTCACCTCTGAAATGTAGTGGAGTAGAAGTATAAAGTAGCATTAAATGGACGTATTTAAGTAAAGTACATAATATGTCAAAAAAGTACAATACTTTAGTTCATGTACTTAGTTACTTTCCATTACTGCTTAACACTATGAATAGTTGTGATCAAGGAACCTGTCGAGGATGCCTTCAGGGAATGTGGTTTTGCAGGGCTTTCTCCTGCTGGTGTGGTTTTACTCGTCTGGTGAAACTCTTTGTTCCTCTAAATCAGTGGTTCCCAACCTTTTTCAGCGGTTACCTCGCTAACCGCAAATCCTGCTTCATAGTACAGGCCACAGATATCCATTCAGGAAACACACATTTAAAACGGTCAAATATGTTAATTTTGTTGTAGTTAATCTACCATAGTATTTACATGGAGATAAGCCCCACCCCCTCAACAGCGCGTCCTGTTTGAATAGAGTGGCGAAGTCACGCCCATCTACTTCCGCCCCATGGGACCTTATTTCTGAAAAATGATGTATTGAAGTCAATGGGGAGAGAAAGATTATCTTTCGATCCCGTTTGAATTATGCCACAAATTACACATATGATGTTTGTCAATCTTAAAAAATCATTTCCATGTCAAAAAAGTCACGGTTTGTCTTAAAACTGTTGAAATATAAGACTATGAAAAATACGCAACTAGAAAGCGTACAAATCCCAGAGTACATTAACGTTACACATTACACTCGTGTTACTCACCGTCACCTTGTAAAGCCGGTCCCGCATGCTGGAACAGACTAACTCCCCTTGTGTGTATGTACAGTTCTCAACATGCCCAGACTTGTAGTGATTTTTACCTCTTTTAATACTTTTCGCTTCATTCTGAAAGAAAGAGGTGAAATGTGCTAATGTGACGGCCATCTTGGTGTTGGTGACGTACGCGAGACCAGAGATGTAGTTCATTGAGCGCTTCACACACAAAATAATGTGTTACTTCACAGTTTTACGACACATTTTCTTTTTTTTTACTTGCAAAATGATCTTTTAAATTGACAAACATCATATGTGTAATTCGTTGCACAATTCAAACGCGATCAAAAGATAATCTTTCTCTCTCCATTGACTTCAATACATACTTTTTCTGAAATAAAGTCCCATGGAGGTCCACCGGAAGGGGAGGGACTTCGCCACTCTATGAGGCGAGGAAACACAGCTGACAGCCGCTTGCGGCGTGAACGCACCATAACAGTAATATTTGTTGTCCATCTACATTTAATTATCACTTTATTCATGCAGAATCTGTCCTTCTCATGGTTATTATTAAATGTAGGGGAACATCAAAACTGAACATCCATGTCATAGTCTCAGGTGTGAATATTCTGTGTGTTCAGGTGCCTTTCTGGTGCCGTATTGTTTATTTGCCCTGCTGTGTGGCGTGCCGCTTTACCTGATGGAGACCGCGATTGGTCAGTACACACAAGAGGGCGCCATGACCTGCTGGAGCAAGCTCTGCCCCCTGGCACAGGGTAACCACAAGTTTTATTTTAAAAATGTATAGTACTGGTCCCCAGCACAAACTGCCGGATATTAACTTGCACATGTTGGGCAATTTGCACAATTAGCATAAAATGGGTTAATTAGCCTTAATGGCATAATAGCCTATGTTGACAATACGATACTGAATCCATTTATAACATTTTCAGCTGATGAGCTGGCAACTAGACAATTAGGGATTATGTAATTTAAAACTGGCTAGAACTGAAAATGTATTTCAGGAAACACCAAGTTTTCTAAAATGAAAATCCCTGAAGCCATACTTCGTGAACGTACCCCATCCTACCACTACAAGAAACAGGAATCATAATCATTGTGTTTTGTTAATATTGACCCCACAGCTGTATGTGAATTAAGAACAATAATATAATACAGACTCTACATGCCTAAAGCATTGTTATTCAACCAAATATCATATTTTATACGTCATACAGTATGGACTCTTCACACATGAATACATATTAATGAATGTACAGACTTTTCCTGTTAACCTTGTTTTCAGCCACAGTGGACTTCTGAGACAAAACAAAAAAACTCTGAAGCACAATCTCTGTTTTGTTTGGCATTGACATTTTTCTCAGGAAAGACAAATGTCATGGAACATGTGACCATTTTATAGTGGTATTCTACCATTAGGACTCTTGCATTTGGGCATGGTGTTGTGGAATGGGCCACGGAAATGATTGTTTACAAAAGAAGTCTAAAATCTAGGTCCTCATTTAGGCCTGTACAGTACTTAAAATGTAAATATTGCACTCCTGTTGCACTTATACAAAGCCTCAGCTCTGATGATTGAATGAGGCCAATAATACATACACACTCACAGTCACTGCCCTAGAACAATAACACTTTGGTCGAGAAATCAATGAGAAAAACGTGTGAAAATGGCAATTCATCAAATGTAAATGATGGATATGTAGATCACGGTTATTATGAAAGCCCATTATATCAAAGGCAGCTGCAGTTTATCCACCCTTGTTTATTTTTCCTGGCCTGTATTTGGGGAGATACATTAACAAGCTTGTATCCTTTAAATCTGATGTTTTCTGAGTTTAGGTCACCTATTATGCTATATTTGAACAATATTATAAGACCATATCTATACAAAATATGTCTCTGAAGTGTTTTACTCAAAATACGAAACAGATCACCCATGGTAACATGCCTCATACCACTCTATTTCAGCCCTGTTACTAAAGTGCTGATTCTGGGTCTGGCCCTTTAAATGTAACCGAGCTGCTGCTGGCCACGCCCCTTTGGAGCGTCCACATGCAAGCAGTGAGCTATGTGAAGAGAAGGCTGTCTACCAGCAGAAACTCAGCTAAACGCTGCCGTGATTAATTTATATCCGGCTTCTTTACACATATTCTTTACAGCTTAAACCGAGGGTATTTCGGATGATCTCTCTGTCTCTCCAGGTGCTGGCTATTCTTATATAGTGATCCAACTTTATTCCCGAGTCTACACCATTATCCTGGCTTGGGCCCTCCTCTACCTCATCTATTGCTTCAGAGACCCTCTGCCCTGGGCCACCTGCAACAATCCCTGGAACACAGGTCTGTATAGGGGAAGTATGGGTGGACGTACAGCGAGTTAAAAGGTCCTAAAGTACTTACTTCTTTAGAAGTGCCAGTCAGCTGTTGTTCTACAGTCTATTTGCACCCAGGTAAGATTTGTCACACAGCAGCTATTCGGATCTTCACACCCATACCCCGACCAACTGTATTTATTGTATGCCGGAAACATCCTAATTAATTATTGACTAATACAGTGGGGCAAAAAAGTATTTAGTCAGCCACCAATTGTGCAAGTTCTCCCACTTAAAAAGATGAGAGAGGCCTGTAATTTTCATCCTAGGTACACTTCAACTATGAGAGACAGAATGGGGGGAAATAATCCAGGAAATCACATTGTAGTATTTTTAATGAATTAATTGGTAAATTCCTCTGTAAAATAAGTATTTGGTCACCTACAAACAAACAAGATTTCTGTCTCTCACAGACCTGTAACTTATTCTTTAAGAGCCTCCTCTGTCCTCCACTTGTTAACTGCATTAATGGCACCTGTTTGAACTCGTTATCAGTATAAAATACACCTGTCCACAACCTCAAACAGTCACACTCCAAACTCCACTATGGCCAAGACCAAAGAGCTGTCAAAGGACACCAGAAACAAAATTGTAGACCTACACCAGGCTGGGAAGACTGAATCTGCGATAGGTAAGCAGCTTGGTGTGAAGAAATCAACTGTGGGAGCAATTATTAGAAAATGGAAGACCTACAAGACCACTGATAATCTCCCTCGATCTGGGGCTCCACGCAAGATCTCACCCTGTGGGGTCAAAATGATCACAAGAACGGTGAGCAAAAATCCCAGAACCACACAGGGGGACCTAGTCAATGACCTGCAGAGAGCTGGGACCAAAGTAACAAAGGCTACCATCAGTAACACACTACGCCGCCAGGGACTCAAATCCTGTAGTGCCAGACGTGTCCCCCTGCTTAAGCCAGTACATGTCCAGGCCCGTCTGAAGTTTGCTAGAGAGCATTTAGATGATCCAGAAGAGGATTGGGAGAATGTCATATGGTCAGATGAAACCAAAATAGAACTCTTTGGTAAAAACTCAACTAGACGTGTTTGGAGGAGAACGAATGCTGAGTTGCATCCAAAGAACACCATACCTACTGTGAAACATGGGGGTGGAAACATCATGCTTTGGGGCTGTTTTTCTGCAAAGGGACCAGGACGACTGATCCGTGTAAAGGAAAGAATAAATGGGGCCATGTATTGTGAGATTTTGAGTGACAACCTCCTTCCATCAGCAAGGGCATTGAAGATGAAATGTGGCTGGGTCTTTCAGCATGACAATGATCCCAAACACACCGCCCGGGCAACGAAGGAGTGGCTTCGTAAGAAGCTTTTCAAGGTCCTGGAGTGGCCAGCCAGTCTCCAGATCTCAACTCCATAGAAAAGGAGGGAGTTGAAAGTCCGTGTTGCCCAGCGACAGCCCCAAAACATCACTGCTCTAGAGGAGATCTGCATGGAGGAATGGGCCAAAATACCAGCAACAGTGTGTGAAAACCTTGTGAAGACTTACAGAAAACATTTGACCTCTGTCATAGCCAACAAAGGGTATATAACAAAGTATTGAGATGAACTTTTGTTATTGACCAAATACTTATTTTCCACCATAATTTGCAAATAAATTCTTTAAAAATCAGAAAATGTGATTTTCTGGATTTGTTTTCTTCTCATTTTGTCTCTCATAGTTGAGGTATACCTAGGATGAAACATTACAGGCCTCTCATCATTTTAAGTGGGAGAACTTGCACAATTGGTGGCTGACTAAATACTTTGTTGCCCCACTGTAGGTGCCTAGTATCTACAATCCCAGATTAGGTTAGGTTGGTTGGTCTGTAAAATCCAAAATAACACTGATCTCTGATGTTCCGATTACCTAAACAAGCAATCGCAACCAATGTTTACATTTGCATATCTATACATGCATTCAAAACCAAATCTAATGTTTGCCACGGGGCAAATAGCATTGTTGACTATGTACACCTGGGTGCAAAAGCATCTACCTTTTCCTTTATTGACAAATATATTATTCTTCAAGAGCTCTTTTTAGACACGGTCTCCTTTACATAAATGTTATGGTAATAATCAGATTGATTTCATGTTTTATAAATGATCACCCTGGTCACATGATGGAAATCAATGACATGAAACATTTTTGTATCACTTTCAACACACGGAAAACTTACCAGAGAACAAAAAGGTAGAGGAAGTCAACTGTCAAATTCTAAAATAACTCATATCCACAAATTATGCACAAAACATGAGCGGCACACAATAACATACATTTAACAAACTATGAAACAATGTGGAAAAAGCAACTTGATCAAAACGTGTTCTACTTTGGCAAACGTTAACTTTTCACCCAGAGCTACCAATTTGCTAACCTTTGAGAAAGAGAGACAAAAGCTAATTTAGCTTATAAATTATGATGTACCGTGAAATTAAATGTAATGTCAAAATATGAATATCTTCCAAGAGAAACACATGGTTAGCAGAGAGCTAGACAATAGAATAACTAAATGCAAATAATTATTTTGAATAAGGTTTGCAAACGTATTGATCTGTTTGCTAACTGACTGATATCTTCTTCACATCAACTGTCCTGGAGACAAAGACCGCAAATGATTCTGATATTACACTGCATAAATGTTTAACATTTTAATTCATTATTATATATAGCTTATATTTGCGGGGATAGTTGAGTAATTCAAAGGTGACAGAGTTAAGACCGGGTCTGCATGGTCATCTGTGGGTGATGTGTAGAATGCATTTCCTCACACATACTGTACAAGATTTTCAAAGCATATATATTTTTAAATATTTGAATTTGTTATACTGTATAATGTGCTGTACCAACCTTCTACCTTGCCTTGTTGGCACATTGCTGTGTTTCATGACTAAAAACAATAACCAAATGAGTGACCATTTTACTAACATCTGATATAAAGATTTTCACTTTAACCACATTTTGATTTGCTTTCCAACTAACAGACAGATGTGTGGACCTGTCCTCCTTAAACTCTACTCAAACACACAGAGGCAACCAGTCAGTAAACTGGACATCTGGAAATCTCACCAAGTCTTCAGTCTCTGAGTTCTGGGAGTGAGTCAATGTTGTCCCGTGAAGCTCATAATAAATTACGTAGAGCAGCAGCAATGGATCATGTTTAAAGTATATTGTGATTTATTGCACTTATCATTGACTGTCTTGTGTCCCCTTGCAGGAGAGGCGTGTTGTCTATGTCTGGGGGGATAGAGGAGTTGGGTGGAGTGCAGTGGGAGGTGCTGCTGTGTCTCCTGGCTGTCTGGGTTGTTTGCTACTTCTGCATTTGGAAAGGGGTCCGTTCCACAGGGAAGGTTTGTGAATATTTTTGTGAGGATTCATGGGCCAAAACTATCTCCTACAACCTGGTTTGTAGTTAAATGCCATTGAGAACTTTTCTTCTTGGAAAAAACCTTAAAGACAAAAATAATCTGTCAATATTAGCAATAGATGAGCAACAGGGCATGGGATTGTGATGTCATCAACAGCAAGTCGGCCATCTTTACAAGATAGCGATCACAACCTATTTACTTAAACAGTGCGGCTAACGATGTAGCGTAACCTTTGTTGTCATGGTTGGTAGGCACTTTTGCATTGTGGATGTAACGGTGGGTTACGTATTGTAACCCTAGTAATATAAGCACAGGTGGAGCCCTCTACTGGACTCTATGGGTACTACCTCTCAACCATACTATGCAAGCATTCATCAACTGAGATATCTATAACCGTAGCCGGCCCCCTGAGGGGGACCTACCTGAATGCGCGCGCAAGCCCACCGTATATAAGGCGGCCTCGCCTCCTGGCTGTCATCCTACACTTCTCTTCAGCGAGCAGCATAGAACAGACAGGGCCCCGAGTAGAGGGCTCCGCCTGTGCTTATATAACTAGGGTTACAATACGTAACCCATCGTTATAACTCAAACAGGCTCCTCTACTGGACTCTCTTGGTACAGTGGGTGGAGCGGCTTTTTTTGGTTAATAGCCACTGCACCGCAACCTCCTCTCCTCCGGTTGTGCCCAGGGAGAAGTCGGGGCCGCAGTTTACCTGGCTGGTAGGGCACACTCAGACACGCTTACCTCGTGAATAGTGTGCCTGGAAAACAGTGAGGAGGGCTCTTATGGAGTCAGATTTGGGTCAATATTCTCGCGCGTAAAACAAGCTACTCACGAGCGGAAAATGTGCTTTTACACGCGCATAAAATGACCCTCGCGCGCAGATTAAACCCCCGCGAGCGGCTCTGCGCCCGCGAGCGGCTCTGCGCCCGCGAGCGGCTCTGCGCCCGCGAGCGGCTCTGCGCTCGCTCGCGAGAGAGACAGCCCTCTTGCTTGCTCGCGGGAGTGTCAGCCTCGCGGAGTCTGTCTACGCGCGCGTGAAAAGTTTCTGGCACTTTGGGGCGGAGCCACTGGACTTTGATTGACAGCTGCCAGGAAACCCGGGGTTGCCAGGTTTGATAAATGCCTGAACTACCAAGAGCCGAGCAGTGACATAACAAATGTTATGCTGTCTCCACTGCTAAACAGACATGACAATTCAGTACCACAGCAGAACTGGATAGGGTCATGCACAATAACACTGACTACTAGAAACTTTTCTACCCGCAACTTTTCTTCACTGATGCCGCTGACACCTGCCATCTCGCTCTCTGGCGCCACCCAACGACCAGAGGCTTCTATACCAGTGCAGCGACCCATTTCTGTTATAACCAACATCCACAGAAGGTTGATGACTCAGGTTAAAAACTGAAAATCCAAAAGCATATGTTTAAATGTATCGAATGTAACAGTGATTCCACGTACTCCACGGTCTATCACAAACAATCAGAGTGATAGTACATCAAACACACTTAAACTGGCTCTATTAAATGTCAGGTCTTTAGCAGGTAAATCGTTTGTAATCAATGATTTTATCACCAAGCATAATCTGGATTTTATGTTTTTAACTGAAACTTGGTTAGACCAAAACAACAGCAGAACTGTTCTTATAGAATAAACCCCTCCTAACTTTAGTTCTATGAGTCAGGCAAGACTGCATAAGAAAGGGGGTGGAGTAGTATTTAGTTTAATGATTTATTTCAATGCAAGCAGACTATGTTTGGAAACTTTGCTTCTTTTGAATATGTGGCCCTTCAGCTGAAATGCTCCTCTCGAGCTCTTTTCCTAAACATCTATAGATCACCCACATACTATGCAAGCTTTTTTGATGATTTTACCGAATTGTTGTCTATAGTGTGTATTGACTTTGACCGTCTAGTAGGGGTGTAATGGTATCCGTATTCGTCCCGTACCGTCACGGTTCGGCACATGCAGTCACACGACGAATACGCCTTTTTTTTACGAGTGGGAAAAAAGTCTCATTCAGGGCAGTATCCACTTCACTATATATAAGCCAGGGGGCGGTATTGCACCTAAAAGCTGTTTGCCAGCCGCCCTTAAACGACCGCGCAGCACTGAAACACTTGTAATCCACGCCCACCCGCTAGGTGGGCCCCACCCTCGGGCTTCCTTCCGGTATAAATAGGAAGGAGGCCCGGCAATCTGCTCCCATACAAAATAACTTTTCTTCAGCTATTCGTAGAGCCAGTGGGACCCAGCGCTTAGAGGGCTGCGCCATTTACTCATAGAAGCTGGGTTACAGTAGGTAACCTCAGTTATATTTCGTATATGGCTTCGCCCTCTAAGGCTATCGCTATTGGGTTAAGGGCGAAGCATGATGTAGTCTGCGCCCCACTGGGTCCGCCCGGCACTAGAAGCACAGACACACCTGCTCAATAACACCCCCCTGCCTGTTGTGCCATGCGTAATGGCGCATCACCGTCCCTGGAACATAGCAAAACATGCCTATCTTCCCGAAGGGGTGAAGGCTGGGAACAATACATACCGGCCGCTGTGAGAAAGTAGAGACGAAGGTCCCACCTTGTCCTGCGATCATAGAGGGGGAACAGCCGCTCTCTCCGTGTCAGACAGGTAGGAGAGCACACAGCTGGATCCCTGACGTCACTCACTCTGACCAGGCACTCCGTACGAAGTGTGTCAGAGTAAAGGTAACATCCCTCTCATACGAGGGGAAAAGGGCCGCTCTCCGCGTGCCGAGAGGCAGGAGAGAGGCGCACCGCTGGATCCCTGACGTCACTCACTCCGACAGGACACCCAGTACAGGGTGCGTCAGAGAGGAATGGGAGACCTCCCTCAAATTAAATTGAATAAATGAACAGGGGGAAGACCAAGATGCAGCAGTGCAAATATCTTACACTGACATTCCTCTGTGCAACGCCGTGGAGGAGGAAAGTCCTCTGGTGGAGTGCGCCTTGATACTCTCCGGGGGCTCCACCCCAGAGGAGACATATGCCTGTGACACAGCCTCACACAGCCAGTGTGACAGCCGTTGTGCAGACAGAGGTTGCCCGATCGAGCGCTCTCTATAGTGCACAAACAGGCGCTGAGAACGGCGCCAGGCCGCCGTGCGCGCCACATAGCAGGACAGCGCGCGCACAGGACAGAGGAGATGAGACGTGGCTTCTTCCTCCGACCTGTAAGGAGGGGGGAATAAGCCAGCCAGGGTGATCACTCTTGACCTAAAAGAGTTGTGATGACCTTACGCAAGAAGACGGTGTTTCTTGTATCCCATGGAACTGCTGGGGGGAGAGGCTTCTCTGTGATGTGCCGTAATGTTCGTCGTGGTGACGTGCCACGCCATCACCGCCGCTGCCTGTGAGGCAAAAGGGCTGCGAGGGAGTTTCCACACGCTGCATTTCACTCCGTCTCTCATCATGAGGCGCGTACACGCCCAGAGAATGAGAGGTGTGTGTATGCTGTCCACACGAGGCGTTATAACAGGGCTCGTGGATTTATTATGACCGTGTGTAGGAGGCATATCTGGGACAGAGGAATGCCGCGAACTCTGCAGTTTATAAACCAATAGGTTAAAAACAGCAGGCTTCTGCAGTGAATGAACCACCTCTGGAGTGTCCCCCTTTTGGAAGAGACCCAAGGGGATCACCACGTGACCAGCTGACGCCAACGCCGAGCAGCTGCGTCACGGAGAGGGCTGTGTGGGTTGTGACATGCCGGAGGAGAGCTGTCAGTTTCTCCTCCGGCAGTTTAATTCCACTCCAGATAACCGTTTGTCTGAGAGGGAAGAGGACAGCTCTTCTTCCAATTTATTATGAAACCCAGGCTTTGACAGATGCGATACGAGATGTACCGTCTGTAAAGCGACTTCCTCCCTGGAGCGAGCCAGCAAATAGCAGGTCGTCCAGAGGAAACCACACTCTCATCCCTCCTCTGTGTAGCGGCTCCAGCCTTCTCTACACAAAAATGGGAGGAGCCAGGAAATATCCGAACGGCAGACGATTGTCTGGTCTGATATTCCCTGAAATGAGAAACCGCAGGAATTTCCTGTGTTTCGGGATGATGGGTACGTGGAAGTATGCATCCTTCAGGTGGAAGTGAACCAGTCGTCCTGGTGAACACATTCTAGCACTTGTTTGATCGTCAGCATGTGGAATACTGTCAGATCGAGGATGTCTCATTGCCCCAGTCTTTTTCGGGATTAGAAAATTAACGGGTGAAAACCCCTGATTTTCCTCCCTTTGAGGAACCCTGGAAATATCCTCTTTCAACAGGAGTTCCAGCGGCTCGGATTGGAGCGCAAGACATAGCTTCTGGGAGGACAGGAGTGTTTCCTGTATCCCATTGAACTGTGGGGGGGAGGGAGGCGAACTGCAGGGTGTCCCCTCTGCTGATCAGCCTGCTCATCCATCTGTCTATCAGACACACACGCTGCCACTCCGAGAAACACTCTGAGAATGGGTGCACATGCTCGAGATGTGTTGTGGTCGTCATGACGACGAGCCACGCCCTCGCCGCCGCTGCCCGTGAGGCAACCCAAGGTGGGCCTAGAGCGAAAGGGCTGTGAGGAGGCCTCCACACGCTGCATTTCACTCCGACTCATCATGAGACGCGTACACGCTCAGAGGATGAGTGGAGGTGTGTGCAGTGACATCCACATGAGGCGTTACCACGGCGCTCATGGGCTTATTGTGACCGTGTGTAGGTGGCGTATCTCGCACAGAGGAATGCCGCGAGGTCTGTGGTTTAATAACCGAAAAGTCATAACCACCAGGCCTCTGCAGCGAATCCTGCTGCCTACTAATCAACAGATTGGAGGCAGCTGGCCCTGATTTTCTTCCTCTTGGGGAACCCTGGAAATAGCCTCTTTCAACAGGAGTTCCCGTAGCTCTGCTTGGAGCGCAAGCCACTGTTCTCGGGATGACTCCACACGCTGCGTCTCACTCCGACTCATCATGAAGCGCGT